TAGTCCATTTGTTGGGAATGTGGGCGTAGTATTTCAGGCTACTTCCTGTTGGTTGGGAGTGCTGATGATCTTATGGGGACCTAAAGAAAATTTAGAGTTATAATCAAGTTCTGACTGGAGTATCCTGTGAGTCTTGATCATCTCAGACAGCAGTCTTGAACCTGTTCTGGATGAAGAACTCAGACATCTGGGCCATCTGTTCCTACCGGAGATTGCTCAGGTGGTCTCCCTTGGTTGAACCTGATTTTTCTTAATTCAGAATGAATCCACAGCCTCTCATTTTCTGTGGAAACAAAAGCAAAATCTCTTCTCCAAAGTAACATACCTTTTGACCTCAGTTTTTAAGTCGAGGTATTTTCAAAATACCTATTTTGGGTTAGTTAGTCCAGCAGCATTTATAAACAAAAGTCTTTTAGCAGCTGTTGCTCCTTCCTCAGCATTCAAACAATTCAAAGAGAGCATAATAGGATACAGTATTAAGATTCTATGTGTATTTTCCATCTTTGTGCGGTTTTATTTTAACCTCTATTTCTTTTATTTTTACTTTTACTTTTTGAGACAGGTTTTCTGTATATCTTTGTCTTGGAATAACTCTGTAGACCAGGCTGTCATTGAACTCACAGAGATCCACTTGTCTCTGTCTCCCCAGTGCTGGGATTAAAGGTGTGTGCTACAACACCTTGAACTTTCAGAGATCTGTCTGTCTCTGCCTCCCAGGCATTGGGATTGAAGGTGTGCACTACCACACCTTGATGTCACAGAGGTCAATCTACCTCTACCCCTTGAAGTCACAGAGGTCAATATGCTTCTGCCTCCCAGGCATTGGGATTAAAGGTGTGTACCACCACACCCAATTACTCTCTTTTTACTTTAAGAACTTTAACTTTTATCCTGCATTTATTTTTAATACACTGTAAACCATTTAGAGGTTTTCTTCATCTTTGAATCTCTCTTTCCTATATATCTCTCTTTTTCTGACTACATGAGTCATTAAAGAGAATATTAGAGCCATGGCTTTGATAGCTGAATCCAGCCCATTCCTTAGCTTTCCAGCCTCATGGCAGAGGTACCGCTGGAGCCATTTTTATCATCACAACTCTACAGTGTTTAAGGTCCCAGCCAGCAAGCAAGTTGCAGCATTCTGCTCACAGACCACACTCAGTCGGACTGCCTGCCTGCAAGAGTCAGAGTTTGTCCTGGCAGGACAGCCCAGAAAGCCGGCATTTTAAAACAGCGCAGCTTTTTTCCTGCTACGGGTGAAAACCAAAAAGCATGCGTTCAGCTTTTCACCAACACCGTTTAAGTGTTTCAAGGCAGGATCTCTTAATGAGATGCAGGGTTTTGCAGCTAAGGCTGAGTCAGGAAGCCTCTCTTAGATGAGAGCGCTTGCTTGCCTATATCAAGCAGAGTATACCTGAGAAATTGCTGCTACCAAGAAACCATGCTTTACTCTATTCTTTCCCAAGCTTTCTGTGGATTCAGTTATCCATGTCTGGGCGCCATATGTAACATGACGGCCGGCTTGTTGGGGTATCTGTCCTGCCCAGTACCCCACAGCCAGCAAGCCCCAAGAAAATCAATCACACAGAGATCTCTATAAGTTATAAAGCTGATTGGCCCATTAGATCAGGCTAGTTATTAGCTCTTATAACTTATGTTACCCCCATTATCCTTATCTACGTTAACCACATGGCTCAGTACCTTTCTCAGCTGGGCAGGTTACATCCTCCTTCTTCAGTGGTGTGCACAGGAGTGGCAGAGGAATCATCTTCCTCCTCCCTAGCCTCCTCCTATTCTCAATCAGAGTCATTAAAAACGAGGGAAGTTGAAAAACCCACAGTTGAAAGGAGCTAAAGAAGGCATAATGCATGACTGCAGTGTAGTAACTTAGAGCTTTTGTGCAAGAAAGGAGCACAGGAAGCATCAACAGAGACCTTAGGAAATCATCATGTATGAGTTCTTTACTTTGATAACATGTCAACAGGAGGTAACAGTTAACAGGGTGTGTAGAATATTTATACAAGTAAACTCATTCTAAAACTAAAATATTATTTTGGAAAAAACTATTTCAATTAACAATTTTATTAAGGATCTATTGTTTTAAAATGTTTCTATAAAAATGTGACAACTTTGCATTCAACGATCTTGTTAGTTTTCTTTTTATTGAAGGCTGTTTTCATAAACATCTTTCTGAAACCTGTTCATAAGGAAAAGTTAAAGATAACAAGAAACTCCTTTGCTGACAACCTTGCACTGGAATTTAACATAATTACATTGGTTTTCTGAAAAAACCTCAAATGAACCTAAAACATTTTTATTTTTATCATTTCTAATTCAAATGCCATAATAGGAAAATGTCTTTTAATAAGGAAACACAAATCCTTAGATTTACTGAGCTACATGATACAGACATTTGTGAACAGTAGCAAGAAATCAAGCAAAGAAAAACCCTAGTCTTGAATTTTTAAAGATTAGTCTTCTTTGAAAAACTCAGATACCAAAAAACACATAATAATTGTCACTCTCTTCTCGGGATAATTAGTACATTGCATAGGAATCAACAGAAACGAGCTTATAGAGAGCTGGGATGCTTTTCCTTCAAATATCTTGCCACATTACATAATTGTTAATGCAAATGATTTTGTCTTTCAGTTTCTGTTTTGTAAACATGTGACTCATTCACATTTATGAAGCAAAAATTATGAATGCATGTTTGTCAGCGCTCATTTCGAGAATGGTGTGAAGCAGCTACAATCCTTGCCTCTGGGAGCTCAGCTGTGGCAATGGAAGGCTGCATGCTGCGGCTGTTACAGAGGATTTTCCTGTAGCGAGAAGTGGTTCCCTGATGGGGGCTTTTACATAACTCTCTTGTTGCTAGGCACCATACTCAGGCTTTCACTTAAGACAGAAATAAGAAAACTGTCCCTATGTCTGGGAGTACATTATATCTAATTATGCACACAATATATGCTTAGTAGCCATCTTAAAAACTGTGACTATCTATGTTTTCTTTATAAGTGAGCTTCCTGAAGACAAAACCCAGCTCAGACATGCAACTGATTCTGTGTTCTAAATAAGAAGAAAGGCTTTAGCCAAGGTCACTTATGTTTAGTTGTTCTATATATGAGTTAAAATGAAAATATCGAGAACAATAAGAATAGATATCCTTGAGTATATAATGATGATTTGATAAAGCATCCCCTTTTTTTGACTCTATGAAGACAGAAATTTAACTTTAGATCTTGTCACATTATCATTCCTCAGTGAGTATTGTCAGATGTAAATGTTTTTACAGCTAAGAAAAAGGAAAAGAAGATTTGTGTTTCTTTCTAAATGTATTGTTTGAGAATTTCATCCATGTAAGTAACATAGCTTAAGGGTTACTGATGTTGGCGGCTGCTACAGAAGGGAATTTTTTAAAAGATGCTCCAGATCATGGCTGTGCACCCACATGCACACTGGCAATGTTCAGGTGTCTCAGTGAATTTTAAAAAACTGTGCTGTGAGTAAAAATAATGGGGTGTATGAGAGACGCTTGACTAAGGGAGTAGGGACTGGATTTTAGCAAATGGAATTTTTAAACCCGATACTTGATTTATAAGCCAATGTTCTTTGTGTGCACACTGAGAGATTTCTTCATAAAATTAAATAAAGAATTTGCCAGTATTATTCGGCCTTGAAAAGAAAGTAACAAATAATAGAAGACAATGAAAACCCTTACATAATGTTAGCGAAGAGTAAGAAGGCAAGGTGTGTTTGCCCACATCCGTAACAGAGGGCACTCAACACTGGCTCATGCAGTCAGGATGTAGAGGTTAGCAGGCAGTCAAGGTTAGTACTTGGCACTAAGGCTCAGGTGACTAGAATGAAGCACAACAAGAAGTTAAATTACCTGAAGCTTTGCTATGTGCAAGAGCCCTAAAGGCATTCTAACAGCCCTTTCATCTATAAAGTGGATGTTATTTATCTCAGAACAAAGGTAGCATAAATAATAAGTAACTGGAGATTGAAATGTTCCCATCTGTCTTTTTCCATCTCCTGTCATATTTATAGGTAATGCCTTGTGCAGAACACTTCATCTTGAAACGGTAAACAATGAGCAGTCTTCCCCCAACTGAGGCATTTCTGCTCTTGCTCAGTAAATATCAAGATCACAATATGACAAAATTTTATGGAAACAGTATGAAAAGATTAGAACAGGTTGATGTTAAAAATTATTATAGTGCTTGGAAACTTTATGTCATTCTTGGTCTGGTATGCTGTTTCCTGTTTTCTAGATCAATTCAGCAAAAATAATGAAAATATTCTTAAAGCAGAGGACACAAGGTGTCATTGATCACCTTGCTTCTTCTCAACTATCACCCTAATTGTTGATAGCAATTCCTCTAATTCGAGTTTTATACTAATTTTTAATTGTTTTATATATATATATATATGTGTGTGTGTGTGTGCGTGTGTGTGTGTGTGTGTGTGTGTGTGTGTGTGTGTGTGTGTGTGTATGTATTCCTGGAAATCTTAAAATTAATCCCAGCAAATTATGAGTTCATATTTTATTGTTTTATATGTAATACAATGGTGCATACATGTGAGAATTGTTTCTTCAATCTCCAGTTAACATGTGCCCCTTGTTTGCTGTATATTTTCCTTTTATGATATAACAAGCTACAACAAGCAAGGTAGCATCAGATAGCAGAGGTTTATTCTCTTGGTCACTTGGGATATTAACATGTCATCAGGGTTTCTTTTCATCAGGGGCTTTGTAGGAAGATCTTCTCTTGGCTTCCTTTTCCTGTTTCTAGAAGCTATTCTTGGCAATTCTTACCTTATAGTGTCCTCTGTCATCATGGTCGTTGTTCTCAGCATGTACTTGTGTCTCTGTCCTCACAAGTACCTCTTAAAAGGATGGCAATCAATGAACTTAGGGTATGCTCTCATCCAGTAGACATTCTCTTTACTTGATTACATCTGTACTGACCCTACATTCACGTAGAGTCCTAGGCACTAGTTGTAGGCATTAGGACTTCAGCATTCCTTTGAGGAGAACCAACTCGACTCTCAAAATGTTCCTCATGAAATCTCACCTGGGAGAAACAACCAAAGTGAGTTGTAGAGGTTACATTCTGGCAAATTTGGTGTTCATTTGTGGGCTCTGTTTTTGATTTCATGCACTAAGGTGCAGTCCAAACCAAGTCTAAGTATCATTGTTTCAATAATAGAGAGTGGTGTACCCCATTGTTCAGAAACTCTTCTGTCAACTGGCCAGGCAATGAAGAGATTAAAATGAGGGTGACAAGACATCTGTCCAGTCCCTTGGAGGACTGGTACGGTGGAAGAAGAAATACCAGGATGGCAGAAGGGGAAACAATGGCCCTGGTATCCATGAAATTTTCTAACATGATTGTCATCACAGTTAGCTATGTGTACAGTCCATTTTTAGAATAGAATGATTAAAGGCTGCATGCAATTATTTGAAATATAATAGAAGCAATTTATTTTCTCTCTGTTTCTCTCCTTCTGTCTCTCTGTCTCTCTCTCTGTCTCTCTCTGTCTCTCTCTCTCACACACACACACACATACACACACACACACACACACACACACACACACACACACACACACACTAAACTCATAAAGGGAAAGAATGTTTCCTGATAGAAAGGGCTCTCCTACTGTTGGGTTGCTGGATGAAGAGGCAGTTTTGAATACCAGGGGAACATTTTCTAAAATTTTATTTGTTTTTCACAATCACCGCAGTAGTTTATACAGTCAAACAGTAGAAGTTTAAAGGTCAATGATAATGAATTGAATTCATCAATAAAAGCAGGAAAGTCTTTTTTATTGGTGAAGTAATTATGTTGCGATTTTAATTGCTTGGATATATGCTGTTAGCGCACATTTACAATTCTTAAATGCAGCCCTTACAGGCACTGTGGATCAGAGGATGAGAGGTAAGTTACTTGACTTCCGGGCAGTGATACAGCTTGAAAGCTCAGTGGAGCAAATCTGCATGCAGAAACAGTGATGTAATCACAACCAAGAGACAATATAATTAGTGTGAGCATTACCCTCTGGTATAACCATTGTATTTACTGGTACACCACACACTCAGGCAGATTGTTCGAGAGAACTGTACTGGATTTAGATGGAAAAAATACATTTTTCAAGTCTGGGACATGCTCTTTTCTCAGTGATTTTTATATAAATTTGATTTCCTTACCTGGTATAGACGTTTCCACATCAGTTCTTTCACATAGCTAAAGATGTGAGTTTTTCCTGTCCTTCATGCCATGCATTTTGCCACTGAAGTTGTTATTCCATTATGTAAAATGAGATAAATAGCATTCATTTAATATGATTCAAGCATGGGATTCATGACAAATAATTCTGCTTGGTTATATAAGAAGAATTTGAACTGAGCCGCTTGTTCAGGAGAAGGCTGCCTGGACACTATTTCTGTTCACAGTTGTCGTGGATCTTTGACACAGCTTCGAGGTATACAGTCGACAGCCCTCCCAGTTAAAGTGACTTTGTAAGAAAATAACTGGAAGAACATTTCCTAGTAGCTTTAAGATTCAAGTATTTGTTGAAAACTCAATTCCATGCATGTACATATACATGTACATACATGTACATACACCTACATGTATTTCTTAAGAGAGAATTCTCCCTTTAATAAACACTTGTTGTGATGATTAAAAGATAATTGAGGTAAAATGTTTAGTATAATGTTTGTACACTAAGTGATTAATAACTATCTAAATATTTCCAAATAATCTGCATTTCAAACATGAGCACTTACAAAAAGATATCTTTGGGATTTTTTTAATATCACTATCCATTTAATTAAATAAAATATGTTAATATAATTTTTCATGCAACATTTTGTAATATTTTAAAATGCTGTGTCAATATATGTAACTGGGCGTCATTTGGCTCTCAAAATAAGAATATCAGTCCCTTGAATACATTTCTTTTCAGTAAAGCAAACAAAAGGTTTTCCAGTAGGACCATGTAGGCAGACTATGGGAATAAATGACCTTCACTTCTCCTTGGGGCTCTATCCTATATTTCCATGGAAACAAGGCATGCACTTCTGATTCTGGTCATCATCTCTGCCCTCAGAACATTCCAGCTATTCAGGCAATTGTAAAACTGCATTCTTTTCTGGTTTGTTTCATTCTCTATAATTACAGTTAGAGCTCAAGCAGAGGGCTGGAACAAATAATCCTTGCTTACGTGGAAGTGCTAAAGTTCGTCTATTTAGGCAAGCTTGGTTATTCCCTCAGAACTAAAAGCACATCTAGTTGATATCAGACCTTGAATGCAGCACTTGAAGATGCTCTGCAGAGGTGGAACGGAAGCCAGGAAACTCCAAGGCTTGCTCTAGCTCCTCTGCAAATAGACTTAAAACCCTAACAGAACTCATCAGTTGTTCTACAGCCCAGCCCAGCTCTGCCATCAACACTTGCAAGGTCATGGAATAAAGACACCCGCAACACAGGTTGACACCCCAATCTTGATAGAGGAAGTCATACAAGGCCCTACCTCTAGATGAAGAGCTACAAGAAACTAATAGTGTCTAGGAGAGGAAGAATCAATATTCTCCAGAGACAAGCCCCCTGATAGGTGATCCAATCTCAATTAAGTATCCCTAAACAGATACCTATATCCAGATAGATAGATAGATAGATAGATAGATAGATAGATAGATAGATAGA